TTCAATGTAGGGGAATAATTTTTATTTATGATATGTTCGATTATATAAAATTAATGTTTTGAAATTGAAATTGGAGACATAAATTTTATTCTTAATTTAATTTTTTTTTAAATTTTAATTTAACTAAACATAGTATAACTAAGATTGAATTTGTTAATTAACCTAACTTTCTCACTTTCATTGATACATTGTTATTTTATTTATGTAAACAAGGACAATTTCAACATGTCAATTAAATTTTTTTTTTTTTTCCCCTTTTCTGGCAAATAATTTCTCACCATATTTGATAGTTTACCCAGCTCTGGTTTTTTTAAATAATGATCCACTTCAATCTTGTCCCGTTCCGTTGTGGTCCCAATAAACACTATCATGTTATGTTTAATGATATGATAAGTTTATTTTATACTAGTAATCAAGCTCAAACGAATGAATGGGTTGCCAACAAACACGCTTCGATAATAAAATTAAATTTGACCTTAAAAAGATGCTCTTGTTATCATTAATCACATTAGCAAGTGTTTATTTAATGATAAGAAAAGTTTATCATGATAAGGAACGCTGCCACATGAAACACGATCCATATAATTATAATCAAACACCAACCATAGGTTTTTTATCCACCTTGCTAAGACACACCACGTTTGAGAAGATCAATGCAAATTTGTGAAACAATACCAAAATTAATTCTCATATTCAAATTATTTCAGAATTTTACTCATTTTTAATTTCTGTCTGTCTAATATATATATATATATATATATATATATATATATATATATATATATATATTACATTATTTCGGATTATTTCGGATTTTACATTGGCAGAATTCAATCTCACGCACTGGACTAATATTAATTTTTACACTGCTAATTATATATACATATATATATATATATATATATAAGAATAAAGAAGAATGTAACCTTATCTTCTCAAATGTGAGGGAAAATAAAAATAATAATAATAATAATAATATTTCTATACTGTCACAGCACTTCTACAACTGAAAAATCATTTTCTATTTGGGAAATCTTCAGGAGACTTGCTAGTGACGCATCTATATACACACAAATATATATACCAGCCAGCCAAAAAAGACAAATGCAGCCTTTTTAAAAATTTAATTTTTTAATTTCCATCAGTGTATGAAAATCGATTGGCTGTTATTTAGTACGAAAACAACCAAGAGCAAATTAAAGAAAATTAAAATGAAGATATAGTTTTTTTTTATTTTTAAATTGTATATATAGTTGTCTCAATCCAAAATCTACGTACTTTTTTGAAATTTGAATGCAAGTCTTCCTATAACTAATATTGTAGTGTTACAATATTACTATATTAGTAACAGCTCCAGCCTTCAAAAGTTGTTTTGGGTTGGCAAAAGCAACTTCATCACGGTGCGCTGTAATTGGTTTACATTTTTGTGCCATTTTCCTCCTGCAATTTTGATCTTATCTTCTTATCCACCCACACCACGTGCCAGTCCTGCATATATATATATATATATATATATATATCTCTTTCATTTTTCGCTATATTAAATTTTTTTTTTTCCAATTGAGAGACTCCAGTCATCAGTCTTCTCTTACATGATTGAAGAGGTATTAATCAAGCTTTTATTTTTTTTCACTTCATGCTGTATATATATATATTTTCATATAACAGTAAATTTAATAAATGAGCTAATATCTAATCTAAGCCTTAATCTTAATATATATATATATATATATATATAAAGGGCAAGTGCAGAAAACATCCTTAAAATATATTTCACGTAGCACTATTAATCTTTTACCCATATTTAAAAAAAATGTGCAAAAAATACCTCTAATTTTTTCACATTGTGCAAAAATACCCTCAATCAGAAATCTGAAATAAATTAGTGTTATAATACTCGTTTTGCCCTTTTACTCTTTCGAAAATGTCCAAAAGATTATATATACTACTAATCTCATAGTATAGCGATGTTTTGTGCAAATTACCTTATTTTTTTTTTTTTAGACTTTTTTCTCTCTATATATATATATCTCTAAACCTCTTTTTTTTTTTTTTAAACTTTGAGAATTTATATATCAAGAATTTGAATTTTTAGAAATTTCATTTTACTATTTTCTATTAAATTTTTTTCTTTATTTATTTTTTTCGTACCAACATTGTTAAACCATAAAAAAGAAAAAAATCCCAATATTAGTTTGAAATTGTTTTCGGAGCTTGGGGTATATTTATTTTCTTTAGTTTGCACTTTTTTTCATTTTTTATTTTCTATTTTTATCTTTACTTTTCTTTTATAATTTTATTTTTATTTTATTTTTCTATTTTTATATTTACTTGTCTATTAACGACGTCCTCCTCCAATAGTGTCATTTTCGATCATTTTACAAAATTATTTATTTTTATATTTTTTATAAAATGGTTCAGTATGGGTAATTTAATCAACTTAGGATTTAAATTTGTCAAAGGGACCTATTTGCACTAAATTGAAACTTTAGGGGTATTTTTTGCACGTGAGGGGTGTTATCCAATGGTATCATTTTCGGTCATTTTACAAAATTATATATTTTATATAATGGTTCAATAAGGGTAATTTAGTCAACTTAGAATTTAAATTTGTTAAAGGGATCTATTTGCATAAAATTGAAACTTTAGGAGTATTTTTTGCACGTAAGAGGTGTGATATGCACTGTAAATAACATACATTAGGGGTGTTTTATGCACTTGACTCTATATATAATGGTATTATAGAGGATTTATAGTATTTTTTATTTTATTTTAAAAAAAAGTACTCTTTTTATGTTTCTTTAGGGCCTGTTTGGTTAGTTAGAAATTGATAATGGAAAGTAAAAGAAAGGAAAGTGAAGTGAAAAAAAAAAAAAATTAGTTTTCTATTATGCATTTGGTTAGCAAGAATTTTTTTGAAGAAACTTATGAGAAAATGTTGTTTAATTAGTTGATAGCAAGAGAATGAAAGGAAAATGATTTTATATGTCAAAATTACCCTTGGGTTAGTTTGGTTAGCGTGAATTAGCGAGAAAGGAAAAGAAACAGAAAATTTCTAAGATTTTTAGCTGTTTGGTTAGCGTGAAAATGAAAGTTTTTAGGAAAGTAATATTCCCGCAACTGATTGATTTTCTTCAAAATGTTTCCTCTATAAAACACGCGAAAATTTTAGTTTCACGTGAAAGTTATATCATTATATATTAATTTCCTCTTATATCTCTGTGTAAAATGTTTTTTTTTGTTTCTTCGTACTCATAAAATGAGAGTTTTCTTACACAAATTAATATTCCTAAATTGATTACAACTCTTTTACTCTTGAAATTAAAATTCTTCGCTACACCTACAAAACAAAGTAAACTAAAATGAAAACTTTCAAAAAAAAAAAAAAAACCTATATAAAGAGACACATACATATCTAGACATATATATTTATTTATAAATCCAATTATATATATTATTTTATCACTATTATTATTATTATTATTAAATTCATAAGGGTAATTTAATTGTATATATTATTTTACTAATATTATTATATTTAATTGTATATATTATTATTATTTTACTATTAAATTCATAAGGGTAATTTTGACATCTAAAATTATTTTCCTTTCATTCTCTTGCTATGCAAACTAATTAAACAACATTTTCTCACAAGTTTCTTCAAAAAAATTCCTGCTAACCAAATGCATAATAGAAAATGAATTTACCCTTATGAATTTAATAATAATAATAATAATAGTGATAAAGTAATATATATAATTGGATTTATAAATAAATATATATGTCTAGATATGTATGTGTCTCTTTATATAGTTTTTTTTTTTTTTTGGAACTTTTCATTTTATATTAGGACTCTGCTATTAGATTAGTTTACTTTGTTTTGTAGGTGTAGCGAAGAATTTTAATTTCAAGAGTAAAAGAGTTGTAATCAATTTAAGAGTATTAATTTGTATAAGAAAACTCTCCTTTTGCGAGTATGAAGAGACAACAAGAAACATTTTACACAAGATTATAAGAGGAAATGAATATATAATGATATAACTTTCACGAGAAACTAAAATTTTCGCGTTTTTTTATAGAGAAACAATTTTGAGGAAAATCAAGCAGTTGCGAGAATATTATTTTTCTGAAAACTTTTCTTTTCATGCTTATCAAACGGCTAAAAATTTTAAAAATTTTCTGTTTCTTTTTCTTTCTCACTAATTTACGCTAACCAAACTAACCCTCAGAAAAAAGGAAAAATAATACTAACAAGACAAATTTTTTAAAAAATAAGATAATGTGAAGAAAAATGAAAAAGTAGTTGAAGCAGAAGTGTTTAGTTGAATTTTACGAGTCAACATCCAAAATTCCATAATGTATCTAGATGGAACCTTAAATAATAGTAGACCTCATCTGTATTGAACTAACTTAACAAATGGTTTCCATTTCATCATCTGAAATCACCAATTATCAATCAAAGTGTCACTTCTGCACTTCCATACTTGTGTCATATCATTTTTACTTCTTTTAATGTATAAATAAAATAAATAAAGTTATATAAATAATCTACAAAGTATTTATTACTAATAATTACTACTCTTGAAATTCAACTTTTTTACATTTACATTTACTAATTTAATATCCAACATAATTAACTATCACACAACTCAATAACCATAGTCAAAGTTGTCTTTTTCAAATAACCAATGCTGAGTCAGCATATAAACTCTGAATGGATAATAACAAGGAAAAACAACGGATGGATAAACCCGAGACTGCCAAGGTTGGACTTTGAATGGACAGTTTACCGGAAAAAAAAAAACCGACACTGCTTTGGTGAAATCAAACCAAGAATGGCATGATATCATGGTATCACGTGTCGATAATACAGGGTGTGGGTTCAGAGTTACCGGGAAATAATAATTAACCGGTCACCGGTAAATGATGCGATGATAGGTCGGCGCTTGATTTGTCAGTTAGTACTCCTAGACCACTATAAATACGTGGCGACTAGAGGGGGAGTCCAATACCCCCTACCAACTAGCTACGTGTTGTTCTCACCGATAATACTGCCACTCTTCTCTCTCTCTCTTCTCTCTCTCTCCTACATTATAGTAGTAGTTCTTCTTTTCCCCCATTTTTTTTCTTTACCTCTTTATCATTCAATCAAAAAATTGAACAACCATGTGTGGAATACTAGCAGTTCTCGGTTGCTCTGATGATTCTCAGGCCAAGAGGGTTCGAGTTCTCGAGCTCTCTCGCAGGCAATTTCTCTTTTCCTTCCATTTCTTTTTCCCTTTTCCTTTCACATATTTTCTGTACCATCATTTACATTTTTGTTACGTTTGGAAACAAGGACACAAAGTCATGAACGTTGAAATTTTTTTAAAAATAGTTTATATTTAAATAAATATCTCTAGTTGTAATTCCAAAGCATAGATTCAGTGTTCTCAAATATAACATTTGTTTCTTTTCACTCACTCTATTTTTTTACTTATTTTTCACGTATATGTAAGTGAGTAGTACGTGTTTTTAGTTGAGTAGAATCCATTTGTATTTTTCAAGGGTTTACTGATTTTTACTATCCTGTATTGAATTTTGTTCTGATTAATCCTGAGTTTTTCAAGAGAAGTGAGAATGATTATATCAATATATTCATCTAATATTACTAATCATTGAGTTTGGAAGGGGGACCTAATTTGATTTAGGCACTGGAGAAACTGTCGTGTTACAAAAAAGGACAATAAATGGACCTTTTTTTCCAAGCAAGGTAGTATCGGTGTGTTGTGGGACCTTAATCTTGTACCTGCCAATAATAGGGAATGTAATAAATGTGGCAACCATTCTTTAAAATCATTTGTTGTGATCAAAATTATTAACATATTGGATTTCTATAGTTCTTCTGTTCATAAATTTTATTTAAAATTGTTGGATTCAGAGCTCAAGTAATTGAAAGCACTCTTGTGTTTGTTAAAAATATCGTAGACGGAAAGTTTTGTTTGATATGCGTGGTACCTGCAATTGAATTGTCATTGTGATATGATATGTATGTATCTATCAGATTGAAGCATCGTGGTCCCGACTGGAGCGGTTTGTACCAGCATGGTGACTGTTTTTTGGCTCATCAACGGCTAGCAATCATCGATCCTGCTTCCGGTGATCAACCTCTTTATAATGAAGCCAAGACCATCGCTGTCACGGTAGGTCAAGCGTCAGTTTGTTCCATTTTCTTTTCGTTTGTTTTGGATGGACTAAATTTGGGGAAATTTTGATTTGATGGTGAATATCATGTGTTGAGATCAGGTAAATGGAGAAATATACAATCACGAGGAACTGCGGAAGCGATTGTCTAACCACAAGTTTCACACTGGAAGTGATTGTGATGTTATTGCCCATCTGGTAAGAGTTAGCATATTACTGATACTGCTGTGAAGTTGTAACAGCTTATAGAAATTAATAAAATTGTACAATTCAAGAACTTTAAGAATAAAATGAACACTTTATTAACAATTAATTGGACTAAACTTTGCCTTTATTCACTTTTCATTAATCAGTATGAAGAATATGGAGAGAATTTTGTGGACATGTTGGATGGGATGTTTTCTTTTGTGTTATATGACACCCGCGACAATAGCTTCATTGTTGCTCGTGATGCCATTGGGATCACTTCCCTCTATATTGGTTGGGGACTCGATGGTAATGTTTCTTTAGATCATGTTATGAGTTGAATTTGTTAATTTTATTTATTTATTATTATTTAGGACTTAAATTGAAACTGGTTTATACTTGTCCTGTTTATCTTTAGGGTCGGTTTGGATTTCTTCGGAACTGAAAGGTTTGAATGACGACTGTGAACACTTTGAGAGTTTTCCTCCCGGTCACTTGTACTCGAGCAAACAGGGAGGCTTTCGCCAATGGTACAACCCTCCTTGGTTCTCTGAGGCTATTCCGTCAACACCATATGATCCACTTGTTCTAAGGCGTGCTTTTGAAAATGTTAGATTCATGAACTTTTTATGATTATTTATAAAAATTATGAGTCATTTTAATCACAAAACCACCTTACAGTAAAGGGTTTTGTAATTATAGCTTACGTGTTTGTTGCAAATTTGCAATACATATAGGCTGTGACTAAAAGACTAATGACTGATGTACCATTCGGAGTCCTGCTATCCGGAGGCCTAGATTCATCGTTGGTTGCCTCTATCACCGCCCGCCACTTGGCTGGCACAAAGGCTGCCAAGCAATGGGGAACACAACTCCATTCCTTCTGTGTTGGCCTAGAGGTGAGTCCTGTAATTTTCACGAGAATAACTTATTACGGTATGGCTTCGAAGAAGCTAGCTTAGTTGTTATACAATCTGTTTTTGTTGAGCAGGGTTCACCGGATCTGAAGGCTGCAAAAGAAGTTGCTGATTATTTGGGGACTGTTCACCATGAATTTCATTTTACTGTCCAGGTATTTGTCTTATTGATACAAAATAACCTTCCAAATTTCATAATTTAGGCTCTTTCTTTCTAATTAACCGTCTCTGGCATGTGACAGGATGGCATTGATGCCATTGAAGATGTTATTTACCATATTGAAACATACGATGTCACAACAATTAGAGCAAGCACCCCTATGTTCCTTATGTCCCGTAAGATTAAGTCACTAGGAGTAAAGATGGTCATTTCTGGTGAAGGCTCTGATGAGATTTTTGGTGGGTACTTGTACTTCCACAAGGCACCTAACAAGGAAGAGTTCCACCGCGAGACATGTCACAAGGTAATACATCTTGATTTTATGTCCCGGTGTTGGAAGCGGTGGCAAAAACAGCAAGTTGTTCTGAAATGTATTCCTGCTTCATTTGCAGATAAAGGCCCTGCATAAATATGATTGCTTGAGGGCTAACAAATCCACATCTGCTTGGGGGTTGGAGGCTCGTGTCCCCTTCTTGGATAAGGAATTCATTAATGTTGCTATGAGCATTGACCCTGAATGGAAGATGGTAAGGAATCAAGAATTGGTTAGCAATTATTCAATTACAATTGTTTGTTTATGTTGCAGTACTCAAAATTTCTAAAATTATGGTATTGGCTTCAGATTAAGCGAGACCAAGGCCGTATTGAAAAGTGGGTTCTGAGGAAGGCATTCGATGATGAAGAGCAGCCTTATCTGCCGAAGGTTTGGAATGTTAATCTGTCAACTATTCATCACCTATTTGTTCACATCGACTACTTAAAACTAACTGTCCTGTTTGATGCACTGCAGCATATTCTCTATAGGCAGAAAGAGCAATTCAGTGATGGTGTTGGCTACAGTTGGATTGATGGCCTAAAAGCCCATGCTGCACAACATGTACATATCTAACATTGTCTTCTTTTTGGCCTCCCCAATTTGATACAGTAATTGCTTATTGTTGATCCCTTTTATTTTCGTAGAGAACTGATACGATTCGAATGACTTATTATTAATGCTCAACTTTCATTTCCAGGTGACGGATAAAATGATGCTTCATGCTGCACATATCTTTCCTCATAACACCCCGACCTCAAAGGAAGCTTACTACTATAGAATGATCTTCGAGAGGTTCTTCCCTCAGGTGATCCAATCGAATAAATCATAAACCAGTACACGGGTGTAGTAGCATCTTTAATTATATATGCAATGGAGAACTAACTCGATTCCCTTTTTATGTAAATGGTTCTCCAGAACCCGGCCAGGTTGACTGTCCCAGGAGGAGCAAGTATAGCATGCAGCACTGCCAAAGCTATTGAGTGGGATGCTTCCTGGTCAAATAACCTTGATCCTTCCGGTAGGGCTGCATTGGGAGTGCATCTCTCAGCATATGAGAATCAGCCGCCCTCTGTCGCGAACGGGAATTTGGAAACAAAAGTTGTTGACAACGTTCCTCGGATGGTGGAAATGCGTGCTCCGGGACTTGCAATTGTTAGCTAACGGCCATTGTGCAACGCAGTTTTATGTGTGAGTTCAAGGGCAGAACTTACAGCATATACAGAAAATTTAAATGCCCTAAGCGAATTAGGTGATATGTAGATGTGAAAAAATGTTTGTTGTATTTGTTTAAAACCCTTGATCCGTATGAATTAGTGGTTCGGATGCAAGGTCATGAAGTGTGCTATCGATTGTATGCTGCAATTCTCCTTTAAAATGAAGGCTTTGAACTATTACGTTCTCTACACTACTATGTTCATGGTAGCTTTTTATTGGATGGACTTGTATCAAGTTATTACAAGTAGATTGTCAGTAATGTTTTTAGTTGGAACAAAAGTCCAGTTACAATTCTAGAATGATGGGTTGTCCAACCAGCCCGGAATGTTAAAATCAGGCCTTCCTAAATATTGTTGGGCCTTTGTTGACCCAGGCTCTGCGAGCCCAAAGGTGACCGATAGTCTGAAATTAACCTGGATTCAGTAAAACTTTACTGTGGGCCTTGTTAAAATCAGGCCCTCCTCAATATTGTTGGGCCTTTGTTGACCAAGGCTCTGTGAGCCCAAAGGTGACCGACAGTCTGAAATTAACCTGGAATCAATAAAAACTTTACTGTGGGCCTTGTTAAAATCAGGTCCTCCTCAATATTGTTGGGCCTTTGTTGACCAAGGCTCTGTGAGGCCGAAGGTGACCGACAGTCTATTAACCTGGATTCAGTAAAACTTCACTGTGGGCTTTGCCCTGTCATGACCCATGAGTCACTTTCACCCATTTTTGAGCCCAATCCTAGAGGATCGGACCAGCTCACCAGGCTAACTAACTAACTAACTAGAAAATTAGAAATGTAGTAACCAACGGTTTTTTTTTTGTTTTTTTCTGCGGGTAAATCATACATTCGAATTATGTTTATTTACTATTAAGAAAAAAAAGGAAAAAATTTATATGCAATTTGCTTGGCTTTACTATCTGTTCTGGAGTTGATATGCAACTCAATTGCAAGCACATGTAAACGTGGGATTAATAATTCAATCTATAATTGAAAGTGTGAGGCCTCACTTGTGACACTTTTCATAAGCTCTCCTTTAAATTAATATATTTTGGACAAAAAGAAAAATATATATACATAAATTAATATCATCAAATGCACATTGCAATATTAAAGTGATCTCACTATAAAAAATAAAAAATTAGTTCAAAAAATCATAAAATAAAATTAAACAATACAATCAAAGTTAATAGTGTATTTTGTTCAAAAGAAAGGGTATATAAAAACTTTGACTGATTTGTCTAATGTATTGCAAATGAAATTTAGTACGCAATTTTAACTATATAATTTTCGTACAATACTCTTTCAAAAGATTAGATTCGCGTCTTAATATTTGTATATGATAATGACAAAAAGACACATAAAACTTATAAAAAATGTCACAAGATCTTGTGATAACATTACTCTTTTTATTTATTCTCCTTTGAAAAGTGAAAATTTTCTTCTTTTTTGTTAGATTCAGTGCATTCAAAGAAATGATGAACAAAAATGTATGTTATGTTTTGTGGACCCCAACATGTTTGATATCTTTAGTTCACCTGCATCCATTTTAAACATGCCCTCTATTCAAATGTTGGTTTTTGCTTTATTGTCAATTTGTCTGATGTATCAAATTTATTTTTTATCAGGAATAAGAAAAGAGAAAGCAAATTGGGAGTGTTTTAGGTAACGGAAGAGCTAAGTAACTTAAAACCCAAAAATAGAAAAAAGAAAAATAAAAGCAAATTAAGACTTTAGCCAAAGGGTGTTTATAAACTTGACAAGAAAATATTACTTATTTCTCATCACAAACAATACACATCCCAAATTGCACTAATATACAATATATATGGAGAGATCTAAAGGTGCAATTTTCACCCTCTCCTTCCTCCTATGATGTTGGTACCAATTAATAACCACTATAGAATTATAAAATGGTAACTAGAAATTAAAAACACAGTTAACACACTAAAAATGAAGCTTTGTTAATTAGAAGAACAAAGCAGTATACAAGAGCTGGTTCCAAGTATCAGGCAAGCCAGGAAGGCACCAATGGCTACAATCAGCAGAATGGTCAGGATTAGCTCTCTGTTCCGGGCTCAGGTCACCGCTGTAGATGGACGGATGTGCATCTTTTCTCATCGCCGACAACATTGTTATGTCCAGCAGATAGGCCGGGTTGTCCATGTCCCTTAGCACGCCCTCAACCACCTTCATCTGGTCCGGGTATGCCCCCGGGTAGTTTATGCCGCTCATCGGTGCTGTCTCTCCATAGCAGCTTTTAGCTGTTGTTATGGTCCCGGAACTCCAATCCGTTGGGCTGCAATGTCATTCAGTCACACATGATTGATTAATTTCCATTTTCAGTACTTGCTGCAGGACTAAAGTGAGGTAAAACCGTAAAAGCAATGATCTTTTAGTTCCTTGTGCCGAGCCCGTGCAAGGCGCCCTCACAGATCAAATAAAACTCCGACTATATTTTAGGACGTGACCGTGAAGTAATTATGAAACTTGATACTTATCATAATCAAAAAATTTTCTAACTAGGTCAATCTTTTAAGATTTGCAATAACTATGCTGCATAATGCACAACATCCCCATCGCAAGAGGGGATCTTGATTTGTTGTGAATAGTGTGTGTCGGTGTGTGTGAATGGTTGTCATGAACAAGTTGATGAGTGAACTTTATGATTTTGTTTGGTGGCACTTAAGAACAAACATAAGTGTGCTTTGTTGTCACCGACGAAACCGGTGTTGCGAAAATGACCGAAACACCATCATCTCGTGTACCCACACGGACCGCCCTACCCCTTTGTACCTACTTTAATAAACATAAGAATTGAAAATGACAAATAATCACATAAACAACACACCGTTGACTCATTGCTTCATCATCCCTTCGTTTTGTTACCGTGACTAATGTTTTGAACAGTCACCACCACTTTACATATAAGATTTCTAATAGTGCTTCTTTTTTTCTTTTTTCTTTTTTTTTTTTTTTTTTTCCTTAGAATTTTAAGCAACTGATATTATAAATAAAATAATTGCAAAAGGAAAGAAAGCCATCAGCCAAACATGACAAGAAGCCCAAACCCAAGGATAAACCCAGCCCAAGACTACAAATTAACGGCTACAAGACCGCTAATAGAGGTTATCTAACCACCAATTCTGGTAAACAATCCAATTTGGAAATTTCTAATAGTGTTACTTACACCTAAGACTTGCAACAATCATTTTTTAAAGATTTTTTATAGGTGCACTATCAAACACTTGGACAAGTGTATATGTACTACGGATATGAACAAAATAACAAGATTAGGGTCTCTTTGGCTAATACTTTTATTTCGGGTTTTTTACTTTTCCAAGTATATTGTAAGTTTGCAACGAAACAAAAGCAAGAAATATGTGCCGTAATATTTTGCTGTGCTTTTGAATAATACTGAAGTGCTTCCAAAATTAAAATCAAAATCGGAAGTATCAAAATAATCCTTTTGTTTGCTTCCGCACTGTAGCAAAACACAGTTCATAAATTTTTTTTTTTTTTTTTTTTCTAAACTAACATTTTTAACTAATCATTCAAAATTTCAAACTTGCAACACTTTTTGCTAAACATGCTTTTATGTTTTTGCTTCTAAAAATTTTGTGACAAATCTACCTTACCAAACAAGCTTCTAAATAATGTTGAACACATTCTAAAAGTAAAAACATTATTTCTGTTTCGGATCAAAGTAAAATCATAAAACAACTGTGGTTATCAACGGGCCCTAAAAGTGTACTAAAATTTTAATATTTTATTTTATGATCGGCAAACCACTTCCATGACAAATCAGTAGTTTTGTAATTATATATATATATTTTAGAAGAATTAGATTTATTGCAATTTAAAATATAATATGATTCAATTAAAAAAAAGAATATATATATTTTTTAAGATATCAAATATCTAACTCATGTTCAAATTAATGATCCGAGTCAATTTTTTTAACAAAATATTACTTTATCGTATCTGGATGAAATTTATGGCAAACTCAGATTTCCATGACACTGTAGAATGTGGACCTACCTGAGGTACTGAACTAACCTAACCTCCTCTTAATAATAATGCACATTTTGGAAAGAAAAAAATTGTGGGTACTTTGAAAAGGGTTCAATAGTTCAACGATTTGGGCCCCATCATAGTCCAAGTTGCACACCCGGATCGGTGAATACAGCTTTTATGGGACACAGAATCATTCTTTTCGGTTTTCATCACCACATAAACTAAAGCAATTGCACTTAAAGGCGAGAGAGCTGGCACCCAATAAAACTATAATTACATTTTTGTATATATGTGTGCATACATAATATATATATATATATAGAGAGAGAGAGAGACACACACACACACACATACTTGTAGTGCGTTGGTGAGATGGACTGGAAGAGCAGTTTGGTTCGAGTTCTGTCAACGTTTTTGTCAACCCATTTAGCCCAAGTTCTGAGCCCTCTGTCAAGAGCGTCCAAACGATTCATGTCTTGATACAGTGACCCTCCATATTCAATATAGTCCCACCTGCACGTGATTATCACCCCTCAATATTTTAATGACAAACTTTACCCCCCAATAATTCTGCAGACATTATTCAAAATACTAGTAACTCAGAAGAGAAAGGTTAAACTGGTAAATTAAAAACTAACCCTTGGAGAGATCCTTTGTGAGTCCACCAGTGACCGGTGTTAAATAACAGCAAATCCACATTCCGCCACGCGTTCGCGTTCCCAGATATCTCATCCAATCTCAGAACTCTCTTCCCTTGCATTGAATCAATGTCCACCAAATAAGGTGCTCTGTAAAACGACACCGCCACACCGTACTCCTGCATTTCACCATAACAAAACTCAAATCTCATAAGACCCCCCCAAAAAATGCTGATCAAATTTACAACCCCCGTCTGATCAAAACCAATCACACGCTCACCAAGTACTTGAAGGTCGAGAGAGGATCTCCCCTGATCATCTGCGTCGCCGTTCGTGACACCCCAGCTGAAATCATACAAATCAACGACTCCCATTGGTTCCTCCCCAGCGAATCACCCACAAACATCACAGTCTTCCCTCGCATTCTCGTCAGAAAATCAAGCCCATTGAACCTATTTACCACCAAAATTGTTAAGACTAGGTAAGAAATAACGTCAAATCTATAGAATTAATCTCACTGTCGGACTAAATAATTAGGTAATTGGTGGTACCTGGGGAGCTCACAATTGGCCGGTCTCCAACGATATTTGAGGTAATCGGAGTCGGGTCGACCGTACATTTGGCAGTTGAATTCGGCGTCGATGATTGGACATTCAGAGGATTGGTAGATTGGGTAAGTGTCATCACGAACCCAACTGCCCATGAACAGAGCACATGTTGTTTGATTGGCTTGGAGCATTGGTCTTCTATGGTGGGGTGTGGTATGGTGGTTCCTCAAACCAGCTAGTAAAACAGATGAAGCTGTGTGGATTTGTACCAAAAGTAGTACACATATTGTAATGCAGTACCCAAAAACATTAAAAGAAGGAAGAGCCATGACCAGATGGTTCAAGGGAGGAGAGAAGAAAAGTAGAAAAGGAAAAGGGAAGGGAAAGGAAAGAGAGAGAGAGAGAGAGAGAGAGAGAGAGGATTCGATGTTTATGTTGTGTTGTGTGTATTATAAAAGAGGGGGTTTTTTTTTGTTGTGTTGTGTTATGTGCATGTGAAGGTAGCTGAAATGGGTTCACGTGAGGGGGTTATGTGTATAGATGTGAACGGTGGGTTTGTGACTTTGTGTGGTCTGATTTCAATCATTAATCCATTTTTCTGTGACTGAAAACTGTTTTTGTCCACTCGTTTAGGGGGTCTCCAATCTACTCATTAGAGAGACTTCTTTTGGGCATTAATTTCCTCATTCAACCATTTATTAAAACACCAATGTATAAAATCACATGTTTTTCTGATAAATATGTTAATGACAAATTTAAGCCAATCCTTCCTCCTTGGATTTTATATGTCTATTAGTAAGGTGTTATAAGAATTATTTGTCACACATTGGATCTAAATGTTAAAGTAATTGAATATAAATAGATGAGTATGTAATATTATACAATAACTTAAACTTTTGAATACATGAGTAAGCCCCACCTGTTACTTCTTGAGATGTAACACAGAATTCCTTATGTAACAGGGGATCCGAATTGCTCAAGTTCATACCTTTTTTAAAAATAAAAAAAAATGCAATCAAATTTATTCTTTTTTCCCTACAATCTCAAATGGATATAGCAATTTTATTTAAGTAAATGAAAGATGTACTGTACAAAAAAGTGAATAACACTGTCAACACAAAAGAAAAAAAGAAAAAGGTAAATACATACATACAAATGGAAGCCAGTTGGGTTGGGGGCATGGGGCCATGGACAATGAGGAGCATTGCATAGGTTAATCACTTTAGATAGAGGGGGACGGGCAAAGGGAAAGGTGGGTGAGGTCAGCCCTTATTCCCCACTTGGTGGTATGGGCCCTATTTGGTGTTGGGGTTGGGGTTGGGGTTGGGGTTGGGAAGGCGCCTCCAAATTTGATTCTCTATCTATCAATTCCTTTTTATTGTTTTCAATATAACAAAAATGGGACAAAAGAATACTTGCTATAGGAACAAAAGCCAAGCATCACACCCTTCCTATAAAATAAAAATTAAAAAAGTAGGCGATTTCTGAAAGCAAATGTTCTTTGCTTTCCTTCACCTACATTCATGGCACATCATTCTCTTCTAATTCCAAAAAATAACTTCATCTCCCTCCAATTTGGACATGTACGAGTTTCATCAAATACGACTTTTCACATAATTCTAAATGGATGAAGTGTAGAAAATACCTTAATATATATTTTGCAAAATATTTTCACCCATATTTAAAAACATTTATTAAAAATACTTGTATTTTTTTGAAATTGTGCAAAAACACCCCTCAATCAGAAATCAAACATAAAGTAATGTTGTAAACCCTGTTTTTCCTTTTTACGCTTATGAAAATGGCCATGGTAGTGTATATACTAATAATCTCACAATATAGGGACGTTATTTGCATATTAATTATATTTAATTCACTTTTCAGGATTTTCTCTCACTTTTTTTTTTTAAAAAAAATTCTCTCTCTATATTTATGCTAAAAAATTTGTCACAATTATCAGATTAATGTACAGTATATCATATGAAATGGAAATTTCAAATTCCTTTTATAATTATAAAAAAGAAAAAATTTATTCCCAATTAAATTTTAATATAATTATCAGTTTTCATTAATTTTATAATTAAAAAATTAAATTAAAGATACTTATTCATTATATATAAACAATATAGATTTAATTTTTTTTAACTTTAGAATTTGCAATTAATTTTCACAAATATATATATATATATATATACAGGAACTTTCACACACACACACACACACATACAGGAACTTTAAATTTTCACAAATACACACACACACGCGCGCGCTTTTTTTTTTTCTCTCCAATTTAGATCATCATTAACAAGAACTTTAAACAGAAAGCATATATTGCTTGATCCCATCATGAAAATAATAAAAGGTCTCCAAATTTAGATTTTTTAGAACTCAATACTAGTAAGGACGAGAGAGATTGAATAAAGGTACTATGGTAAATTTACTATTAAAGGTAATATTATTAACTATGGTTAAGTCTAATAAAGAAATGAAGTGTAATTGATTATTTGACTTTTGGCGGTCTATTTAAAAGTGAGTTGTTTTGAATTGCATGAGAGACTTCCGGTGTGTATATATATATATATATATAATTTTTTACATAACTGGGTATTCAAACTTTATTAGGGAAAAAAACATAAAAATAAATGGGTATTCATCACCTATCGTCATCATATTACTCAAATCGCAATAAAATTACGTTCTCAATTAAATCTAACCGTTAAGATCAAAAAATTCAAAACAAGAATAGTTTATAAAGTGCAAAAAACATCCCCATAATATATTTACGGTGCGTATCACACTTCTCATATATTAAATGACCATTATCGTCATTTCATAAAATGATGCATTTTTATATAATATGTAAAATGTGTATATAATGGCAATTTAGTCCAACTATAACTTAAATGTGCCACATTAAAAATTCATGAGTGTTTTCTGCACGTGAAGGTGTGATACGCACTGCAAGTATACGGATGTTTTATGCACTTAATCCAATTTTAAATGTATATCTATGAAATTGAGTATGAAAATCTTTACTCACTTTAAATTGAGTGTCCATTTCCCTCCTCTCTCTCTTTTTTCTAAAATTAAAAATTCTATATTTTACATATATATATATATATATATATTTGCTGCTGTATTTTACATATTCATTCAATGAAGTCTCTCTCAAAAACTATATATTCATATATCGTCTATTATCTGCAATGATTTAAGATGTGTACAATTTTAGTTCTTTATTTCTATTCCACTTGAGTCTATGTCAATTATGTCATGCAAGTGCTCAAATAATAAATTCAACACTTAAATCAAATATATTTTCCAATATTTTTAAAGATCATTATCATACCATCCTCAATGTCAATCTCATCATCACTCATTATTGTTTGAATCAGCGCTAGCATTATATACATATCATAGAAAAAAAAAGAAAAAACATCCACATTAATGTCACATCACTTATTACTGTTTGAGTCAACGCTGGCATTAACAAATCATGCTAATTATTCAATGCTGCAACCAAATCGAAAGGTTTCTCAAGAAAACAACAAAAAGAAATCAACAAGTGAAAAATCAATGATTAATGAAATACTTACCAAAGTTTGTCTTGACTTTAATTATGAAGTTGCACCGGGTAAATTTGTATGTTAACTTCGACTAGTTTACTTTTATGCTATGTTCTTTTAATAGTTTTGGGGTCATGAAATTAATTTTTTTAAAAAAATTTAGACAGCTCATATTATTAGGAAAGAAGTTGTTGAGACTTACATGTGTAAATCTCTATTAACTGTGCAGATGTATTTTGTTAAACGAGTTATGACAAATTGTATTAGGCACAATCCCTCCGAAAATGAGGAGAGTTTGCACAAGTATATGACGGTGAGGCCAACAAAGACGCTAAGCCCATAAGTCATGATAAATGGTTTCAAAACTTGCACAAGTCTATTGGGTAACAAGACGGTATGATTTTGAAAGAAGAAAAAATGTTGAAAACCGGCAAACCTACACAAGTCCGTGACAGTAAGGTTTTAGCGAAAATACCAAATCTCAAAAATAAATTATTTTGAAGAAAATTGCAAACACTAAGAAGAGAGAATGTAAGGTGAATTTGTCTCCAATAATAATTGAAATTGCTTGTGCAGTGAATGATAGAGCTCACATACCATATAGTAATCGCAAATGACAAATAATATATTGAAAATTGAAGTGAATATAGTATTATATTTCCACAAGGAGCGTACACATTATATAGCAGGACACCGGGGTCCTTATTTAACAATGCATTATGGTTTATGGAGGTTTTGCGTGTACCGTCTGCGTGGACTTCTGTCGGTGCTCATCCCAGTTCTCCAGACAACAAAGATTCAAACTTGGAGGCTTGTCGTGGACTAAAACATTCACTGTTTACCTCCACTTTAAATTTCAATGAATTCATTCAAAAAAAAATTTATTTTTTATTTTTATTTTCACAAATTAAGGGAGCGAACTCAAATACGAATGCATTACCAAATTATAATTATTATTATAATTTTTCCTCTCTTTCGGACATTTGCTTGAGTGCCATTCAACTATTCAACCTTCATTTTTGGCAATTTTTTCCTCCTTAAAATTTCTTTATACTTGTATGTGCTAGGGTGAGAGCCGTATATATATATGTATATAATTATTGTACTAGTCGATCTTTAAAAAAATGCGACTTAATTGAGTAATGTTAGACATCGCCACCTTGTCGGATGTGTTACATAGTGACAAGTCTCTTGACCCTCCACGAGGCACTAGTTTTGAACTTTACCTGTTTTAGTTTACATTCATACAAAGTAAATGAAGCCATCATAACATAAGAAGTGTCGATATTTATTAAAGAATTTTTCCAAACTATTTTTAGTCCACATGTATAGGGAGGGGTACCATGTGGGGACTTGCCTAATGTTGACACTCAGGGACTTGCCTAATGTTCACACACACACACACACTTAAGGGAGCATTGAAGTAGCTTCTTCATTTTTGTAGAATTATTCCAACTACCGAGATGGCCAGGGCACAATGCTTGCCCTCCTACCCACCTCCAAGGGCGGATTTAGGAATTGTCATTGGGTGGACTAAAATAAAACATAAATTTAATAATACAATTTCTTAAGCAATTTTATTTTTATTTTATTTATTATTATTATTTTTTTTTTTTTTAACCTAGTCTAGATAAATATTTAAATTTAAAGATTATAAAATATCTATCTAAGTTGTGCTCGACGAATCTGTAAAGACTCGAATTTGTCGATATTAGATTTCAAGTCAATTTTTCAAACAAGGTCCCATACGATTTGCAATCAGCAAGAAATCCATCTTCCATCCTACTATGTTTTAACACGTTTGATATTTGGTTTTTTGATTTTAAAGATTGAATTATTGCAATTTTTGTTTGTGGTTTTATTTTATAAATCAATTTGAAATTCTAACACTTACCCATCTATATTTGTTTTATAGTAACCT